TTTTCTCTATCCCAGAATGAGAAAAGGACGAACTTTGTTTGTCTTCTTACAGCATTTGATCTGTTTTATTCATTTATAATCTCAGTTTTGCTTAAACTCTTTGCGTTTTATAAAAAACTGACTTATAGAAGTCCTGGTTCTCGAAAGCCTAAAAACTCTGCCCTACCCACTTTTTGTTTATTATGCAGCAGGTGAGTGTATTAATTTTTATTTTTTTTACATGACTAAGTGCAGAGTGACCAAAGTCGACTGATGAAAACTGCTTCTTTCTACCTTTTTTCGTTTATTCGTAGTAATTCGTTGGTTTGCTATTGAGGACTAGAGTGCGATACTCAATTTGTCGAACTCTGTTCCCTCCCTTATACTACAAGATTAAGAGGTCTTTCTTCACTAAATCGAAGAAGAAGAGAATCAAAGCAGAAAGAAAACAAAAAGAAAAGAAAAGGCTCACCAAATTTCTGGAAAATTCGTCTTTAGATTTTTTATTTTTTTTGTGGGCAATTCAATTTCACAACGAATTAGCTTTGATGCCGGTTCTGAGTAGATGTGTTGAAGAAGTATTCCTTTAAAGCACTAGGATAGGTGAACATGATGATATCGGCCTAGTATTTCAACAATTTTCCTGCATGAGCATATTTTTGAAAACCTCGTTTATCGCTTATTTTGAAGCCCAGAAAATTCTCTATGTACTCGGTATGAGCTTTGCTCAAGGACTTTGAAATCGGACGAGAAATTTCCGGAAAAGGATAAATGGCTTTTGTTGAACTGGTGGCGAAAAGTGAAAAGTAATTTTTGTCTGAAAGACACGAGAAGGAAGTTTTAAAAGTGAGAAGTGTTGAAAAGTGAAAAGCGAAGCATTTGCGATCATTTTCACTCAGAATCGTATTGGGCCATTTTCTAGCAGAAACCGTTCCCCGTCCTTTGTGCCAAGACTATCGCGCCATAGGTTAACCGATATTCATTAATATATATAAGGCACTCATAGATGCTGGATTATACAACATTACTGATAAAGATGTGAAATTTGCCATTTAATTAAAGATCATACACTGATTACATATACAAATAGGATCCCAACAATTCTTAAACTTTCAAAGTTTGTCTAGCGTCTTTGTTGTACCAATTACTGGTGCAACCACGTTCATTTGTCGAATAGTGACTAACGTAGTCAGTTTTCTGAATAGTTCAGGAAAACTCGCTAGACAAAAAAACGGATAGAAAATGAGAATAAAATTAGGTGAGTAACTAATAACAAGAGCCGAATCGGATGTTAATGACCAGAAAACTTCGAACAGTGCACAGATATAGCCTATATTTGCTGGTACAGAACAGAGTGCATATAATAAAATAATCAAGGATAGTTGGATGAGCATTTTTCGATCACGTTTCCATTTGAATGTTTTCTGTTTCATACGACGTTTTTGTAGTATAACACGTAAGAACAGCACAGCTGATGAGATGAAAATGATGGCGAAGGGTATTAGCGAATTTAGAACAACGTCTAAAGTTGATAATATGACACTTGATGATGCATAACATGGGCTACCGCATGAAAGTTTATCGAAAGAATAACGATTTTGACATTGATAGATGTAGATAACTGATATATAAAATAATAAGGGGTATATAATAGATATTGTTATTGGTAGATAATGACAGAGAATTTTTTTGTACTTGACCTGCATTATATGAGGATTAAAAATTAATAAATGTCGTTCAATGCAAAAGAATACCATCAAATAAACATTAATGGCTAATATAGAATATTGATAAAAGTTGATAAATGAGCAATAAAAATTGAATGATGGATATACATAGGATGTGTACAGATACTGTTCAGAAATAGGCACAGATGTTGTAATAAAGAGAAAACTAATGAATAACAAAAGAATGATGACAGCATTATTCACAGATTTTCGTAGCTGACGATTAATTTTGAATTGATAAAATAGATATGTTGAACAAGCAACTGAAAATATTTGACATATGAATAAAATACAAAAGAATATTTTGTTGAAGGATGCAGACGATGTAGCCACTGATGTATCGGCAGTTTCATTACTTGTGCTTTTTACAGATACAGACATGATCATTATTTTATATATATTTTTTTTTATAGAAAAATTGTTACTGAAAGATTTCTCTTTTTTCAAAATTTTCGTGATGCTTACATTATATTTAACCGATAGATGAAAAACAGTGTCCTTTTATTCAATGGTTTATCATGTAAATAAGAAGAAGCACATCCTGCGAAACTAACTAAGGATTTAATAGAAATTATCATGCGGCGTAATTTTAGATTTTATAATCCATCTCACCCTTCGTTTCTTCACAGATGTCATCGTTGTGAAAGAAAAATTGTGACACTGAGAAGATCGCTATCATCGAAAGACATCATCCTAATTGATATAACTCATTTAAGTGTATAAAAATCTAGGCAAAAAAAACACAAAAAAAGGTAAAGCATCTCATTAGTGACGGAGCATTTTTATCGTACTGTGAAACAATCTTTTCTACTCTCACAGATTGATAAAAAGAGAAAATTGGTTAATATACAGTAAGTTTTAAATGGAATTGAGCTCTCAAATAAAACTAAAAGTCATTGATATAAGATGAATAAAGTCCCTCTAGTAATTACTACGGGAACAGCAAGCATATCTTATTTAAAAGTTCAATTATTTTTACTTAAAGAACTTTTTAATACCCTCTAGGCGAATTTTAGAGCGGGAAAAAAAGAGGTAGAAAACTTTATCTTCACAATGCTGAACAAGATTAAGAGGTCTTTCTTTACTAAATCGAAGAAGAAGAGAATCAAAGCAGAAAGAAAAGAAAAGGCTTACCAAATTTTTGCAAAAATTCGTTTTTAGATTTTAGATTTTTTTTATGGGCAATTCAATTTCACAGCGAATTAGATTTGATGTTTTTATCAGAAGATCATTTTCCATGTTATTTTGTTGTGGTTGTTGTTGAGATAATTCAGCAACACGCGGTAATCCAACAATGCTAATAACGCCATTATCATCCAATAAAAACTAAAGAATGAGTTTTAAATATATGTCATCATCTTTTAATGTTATGTAATTGCCTGAGCGTCTGCTTGAGTAAACTACTCTTAAAGTATCAGAGCTTTTTTCTTTAGATACATAAAAGATAGAACTTTTAAGTAATAATACTGTCTGTGTTAAAGTCATGAAATCTGATATTTGATAGACCAAGTACGCAGTCTGAAATTTGATTCCAGAACGTTTTGTTTGTTTTGAAATAACGTTGAGAATCAGACATAACTTTATATAATTTAATATCTCGAGTTACGTGCTCAATGCTAATTCGATACCCAGCACGACGATTGTTATATGTAAGACGCTGTTGTTCTGTCAGTCCTGCTCGCCGCAGTTCATTAGATCAATAAAAATAAAAGTATGACAGCTTACATCAAATAATCAACTGCTGAAATAATTATTTAATAATTATGTCTGAATTAAAAGTAGAGACTATTATATAGTTATAATATTTCACTATCTATGTAGAAATTTTGGTAAGGAATTTACTGATTTCATGGAACTGCTCTGCTTACTTAAATGGTGTTAATATAGGTGGCTTAGTTGCAAAAGCTTTGTCACCTAACAACCACGTTCCTTGTGGTATTGGACACAACTGAGCTATACGAGCATGTGTGAACATTCTCGCATCATGTGTGGATTCGTAATATCCAGTTTTATAAAAAATAAAACGACGATCTGTTGAGCAAATGTAAATACTACTTAAACAATGATATTTCACCTTCCCAGAATAATAACGTCTTTGTCTCCTAACTATAATAAAAAGCATCATTAAATGTTTTATATTCAGATCTTATTGAACTACTACTATTTAATTAGTACAATAGTACTACGTAGTATTAGAGTAATTTATTATTACCTGGCCTTTGAATCCTATGACGAGTACCATCTATATATCCACATGTATTGCCCAGAACAGGGTCATAAATAGCTTTATCCCTTAATTCAGCTAATGATGGCCAGACTATTGGTCCAAAAGTAGACGACAAAACTGGAATAAATTGGCGTATCAAACGTTGAATTTTTCTTGGATGTATATTGAATTGAGCATACGTGGCAGAATATATGCTTCTAGTATAAAGTCGATGCATCTAGATGTAAAGATGGAAGACGAAAAGAGACAAGAGGTGGACGGGAGGGGAGGAGGCAGAAGATGAGAGTGAGCCGCTTCCATCTTTACATCTAGATGCATCGACTTTATACTAGACTCATATATTTTGTCACCCCTCGAATTGAGCACTCAGAGCTTGTGCGGTTGGATAGTGACGTAGCCAGAAGAGCAGAAGAAATAATAAATTTTTCTTAATTAGTCGAACATGTCTTTTTTGCTTTGTCATCTTTAATTTATTCATAGCTCTAGCATAAAACTTTGGTACAATATCTCAAATGATCCTGGTGTTAAGCCAGTTAAACATATAAACTGATATCCTCCGTTAATTGTTCTTGAGTATACGCCTATCATTGTACCAAAGTGATTTAGACTAAAACACTGACGATAACGTGGAATCTTTTTTAAAGCAATCAGTAAATTAGCTTGTGCTATCGCTCCGCTAGTAAATGACATTAATGTAGCTGTTGTTGTCTTAAAAATCCTAAGTCCTGATATTATCAATATAATATATACATATACGACAGCAGATAACTGCTGTGTGGCGGAGAACATCGTTGTTTGAACAAGATGTATTATTTTTCTAATTTTATTTATTTTTTTTAATATAATGACGTATGATGTTGGATGAATCCATTTTATTAATAATCAATTATTATCTAAAAACTTCTTGTAATGAATAAACACTGCTGATGCACTGAGATCTGCTTTGGTGCTCTATTTTTCTCGTTTTTAGATAAAATATAAATTATGTGAAAGAAACGGGCAACTTATATATACTGGCTCATATTGTGCATTATATATACAATTATTAATACAAAAATATATTAAAGATGAGTAAAAAAGTCAGAATAACGTCTGAAGAAGCTAAAGGAATATATGACTGTCAAATTCGCCTTGGTAATAGATATAGAGATTATGTACAAATTTTGCGTTCAGATCAAAATATACCACCATCTGTTCAAAATTTATATCAAGGAATGTCAGATGTTAAAGCTACAAGTAGAATAATAAACTATCTCCAAGGTGAAGGACGAAAGTAATTGAATTGTCTTTCTTTTTTCTGAGACAAATCTGCTCACTTCGAATTAATTTCTGATGAATTAAGTTTCCTAAAATCTTATACAAATTTTCGGACGAAAGTACATTATCTGTAAGAAAAAAATGGTATATGCTTTCAGTTTCCAAATTTCTTACATTGTTAAATATATAGATAATAAAAATTGAAACTTGGAAAAAGTTATATACATAGACTTTTTATTTAGTTTAGACTTATAATTTATTTTGGTTACACATAACTTAAAATAATGTTTTTGTGAAAAACACATTATATTTATCTGTTTATCTTTAGGGCTGCCGAAATAAAAGCTAAACAACATTTAAATACACAATCATCTAATGCAACAGCTGCATATTTTAAACCACTTGTTGCACCTCGACGTGGTAAAACACGACGAGTTAATCTATATTCACGACCAATCCTTGATGTCTCTGAAGACTCATCACCATCACCATGTCTACTCAATAATGAAAATGCATATCAACAGCAGCAAGCAGATGCAAATGAAGATGAAGAAGGAAGAGGTTCAGAAGGAGAAGAGATGGACATTGATGATGAGATAATGTATCAACAACCGGTATTTGATGAATTACCATCAATTAGTGAGTTTCAGCCAATTCGGCGATCATCATTTGCTCAAAACCAAACATCATCTCCACCAGTCACAACACAAACCAGAGCCAGATCTCAGTCCAGTCCAATTCAACAAATTAATAGCTCAATGGTTGAAACAGTAGCAGCAACAACGACCAACTACCATCCTTCTCTCATTCATCAACCCCCTGGAGCAGAAGATGAGGAAGTTTTGATTAATTCGTTCGGATATGAAGTTAATCCACAGACATACCGTAGACGAGATGAAATTAGACGTCGTGAAGAAATAGAATTGGAAAGCCAAACACAATCTACTAAATAACAAAATGATATTTCGGCTTTATCAAGACAAACAGCAACAAGAATAAGGGAGTAAATAGTGATCCATAAACATTCAATCCCCCCTTTTCCTTCTTTTGATTTAATATAAATTTAAGTTTATTTCTTAATTTTCTTTAGTACAAACAGGAATCGAACCGATCTACTATCACCCACAAATAATCAACAAAATTCACCTCCTCCATCTGTTTCTCAGCCATCTACTTCTCAACCACCTCATCAGCCATCATCATCTTTACCTTCACAACAAGAACAGCAGCCATCAATATCTTATTCGGCACCAGCGGCTGTAAATCGGCCAACAACAAACAGAGGATCAACACTTAGGAGAGTAATAACCAGCGTCGAGGATTGGATGCTCAACAAAGGCGCAATACAAGTCTTAATGAGGCTTCTGTCGACCATCAGCAACAACAACAAACTCGTACAACTATTACAAATTTAATGAGAGACGCTATTGAGCGTTTCAATGATTTTCAGGAAATGGGACTGGTGATCGGTGATATTCTACTTATATTCTCAACTATGTTGACAGAAAAGTTACAGAAAGGCAGTTTCGAGGACTGCGCGTAGTAAGGGCTAGTTCAAGTTTCCAAAGCGTGAACTTTTCTGTAACGAAGAAAGCGGTTGTAAAACAAAATTTATTTAAGAACTGATTTTCTTAATTCAATTTGATGTTCTGTCTCATTCATTATTCCTTATGCTAAGATCTTTTCTATTGTAGTTGAGTCATCACATAAATCAGGAAGGTCAAATGCAATCGATTTAGTTTTTATATCTGATTATTGTTGTCGCATTGTTAACATATTGTACTGACTGTGAAATAAAAGTTTGTACAGATTTGCGTAAAACATTCTCATCACTTGCGATTTTCGGTAATCAATTTGAAATAAAAAAACCTTCAGCGTAATTGACTAGCATTTGGTTCAGTCAGTAGTGGATCCAGCCTGCGAGCGGCAGCTCGTACCTTTTAACCAAAAAAACTGAATTACTGGTATGAATGTAGATCCAGGTGCACTGCTTTTATTTCTCAGCAAACGTGATCCCTGCCGGCTCAGAATTGGCGCAGCATCACGAAAATGGTACTGCATGTTTTATTGATTTTGAAAACACTATGATTTTTGAGAAAGAAACGAACTGCAGTAGAAGTAAAACACTAGAGACAGTGTACGCCATAGCCAGTGTAGGTTATAATCGATGCAAACAAATAAGTCGGCAACGGAAATCTCAGTCTCAATCAAACTCCATCTGAATTTCAGCTTCGAGCAACCCATAAATCAAAAAAAATCAAAACGATTAAATTGAAATCTTATCAAACGTAGTAAACATATAAACTTACCGAAATATTGATAGTTCTGCGTGGTTGTTTTAATTGTTTGATTATAAATTCTGTTTTTGGAAAAATCTCATTGCATCTTATAGTTATTCATTCACAGGATTCTTTTACGAATGAGGTCAATTTTGCCTTGAGACCATACAAAGTACTAAAAGTATTTCGAATTAAGGAAACGAAATATTTCTCGACCTTTGTTCCGGATCATAAAACGAGAAAAAATAGTTCAATATGATCGAACGTTTGAAACGTCTTACAATCGTCTGTGTATTACTTTCTCAAAAAACTCACTCTCGCATGCGCGCACACCCTAAACATCAATTCTTATAAGATGCACGTAATGCAAACTTCAAGTGAAAGTTCACTTTTTACTCAATAAACATCGAAACGAGTTCAGCCCTTCAGGATATGGTCGATTTTCTCCGCTAAAGGTGACTATAAGGTCGAAAAAGTCGAAAAAGCATATTTGCGTTAATGGGTTTTTTAGAAACCCTTTTGGAAAATCGTAGGGTTTTGTAAACTTTTTTTAAGATCTCCTATAACTAAGATATAGAATAGCTTAAATACTCTATATTCTGAAGGTCCGAACTCGTACCGATGTTTATGGAGTGAAAAGTGAACTTTTTAATAGTTGAAACAGCTTGAAAACCCAAATTTTCGTAAAACTCAAATTTTAGTAGACTTTTAGAACTTTTTCTAAAAACAAATATTGCCACAAGACTCAGCATGATCGATTATCTATAGTCCATCCGTTTTGAAGGCTACCAATAGTCACCGGATGCCAGGCTTAGGGCTCACAAGAGATCCGACACAACACTCGAACCGCGAAAAACTAAGATCTTGCTTGACTTTCATGTTGAAGAAGATACCCTGGGCTATCATAGCATAGAAGAAAATCAATACAATCCTATTCAAACATTTTACACACGGCCTGGTTTTCGAAAGACCCCCTCGCTGTTTCTCTTAGGTTTTCAGTAAAAGCCGTTTTTCTCAGCAAGGAAAACGAATTTTGAGAATAGCTCTACATACTTTTAAAGCTGGAGTGTTGCCAATCTGATGGTGTGCGAATCATCGGTATAGCCCTTCACCCAAAACACTAGATAGATTTACAAAATGAGGTATACCCAGTTGACAGCCGTTGCTTCGAACGTCCATGGCGGACGACTGTGTACCTCTGAAATGAATTGAAAACCTTTTCTAAATCAGTTTTCAATGCTGATTCAGAAAAATATAGTTCGAACCTTCCATCTTCCAATACAAGCTCAAAAAGTCAATTTCATCATAGAGGACGGTTTTGGGTATTTTTGAGATCCTCTCAGTAATTTGAGCTTTTCTCCATGAAGAAATGGCTTTTAGAGGCTTGGAAGGTGTTATTCGTAATCAGCTCGTAGCTGAATCTGAATATGTATGATAATGCCAAAAAAATATTTCATTTGGAGTTTGCATTACGTGCATCTTATAAGAATTGGACAGGGATCTGGTAAGGATCTTGCCAGCTCTTATCTCCTTTTGGTAAGAATCTTATCCGGTTCTTACCAGATTCTTATATAGGTGACACGAAAGTAATACTAATTTCGTAAGGATCAGATCAGAGTCGAGTGAGAATCTTATAAGAATTTCATAAGAGGGATAAGAGTTCTTATCAGTTTCTTATTGCATTCTTATTAAATTTTTATAGCAAAATATTGTTTGACCACTCGTGATGATTCTCTCAGCAATTTTCTTGCGTTTTAAACAATAATGAACAAAGAAAGACTTTTCAAAAATACCGGTCCGGTCAGGGTTCGAACCTGGTGAGTTGTTCATGACAATCCGCGGGTTCTTCTATTGAGATACTGCGGACACATTTATATATAAACACCGCGTCTTTATATTCCATCACAACATCTTTTTCAACTTTGAACTTCTGTTATAAGTGGTGATAGTATTGTATGGAAATGGTGTGTATCACGATGGAATATAAGTTAGTGCACAGAAATTTTAAGTTTACGATAGTGGATTGTAGAAATAAGACTGCGTTGTTAGAATTCTTTGGCTTTAACAAAAATTTACGAAGAAAAAGTTATTCCTATGAAATGTTACTGGAACGAAATGAATAGAGAATAATTCTTGTAAGGATCTAATAAAGGATTCTTATCACTTTCTTATGAAATTCTTGTAAGATTCTTACTCGATTCTTACGACATTCGTGTAACTTTCGCGCCCCTTCTCATATAAGAATCGCATAAGATTCTTATCAGAAATTTCAAAAAACCTTTGTCTACGTTATTGTTTTTACGTGACGGCAAATTCAATGGTATGGTTGACTTTAACCATAAACATTTGTAGGGATTTTCATGAGAATTCAAAGAACACTTTGAAGGAAATAAAAAGCTTAAACGTGTGTACACGTGATTCTAGAGCCAATTATTGACATACAGTAGTAACTCAACACAATTAGATCAGACGACGATCATCCCATTTTCTGTTTGACAAATATATACGTCGTTCCTCTTATCAAATATGTAGCTGATATCCAAAACATCCAAAACGTCACATATTCGGATGACAGCCAAATGAACATCTTTTTTACAAGTGTGAATGATCTCATAAAGCTGATGTAAAGTAATTGAAGTAGGTCTCTCTTGTGAAATAGTTGCAGTTTGAGTTGGAGAAGTGTTTGTGTTTGTTGCCACTGCTGAGTACAGAATTTCCGACCTACTACGGGCGCTACGAGTGCCAAGTAGACTACAGTTATCAATCATCTGCCTATCTGACATCCATGGTACCCACATAACTGTGCATCGGATTCTAATGTCGTTCACGCCTTAGAAATTACAGTAGATCGCAGAGGCAGGAAAGAACCTACGCGTGGTTATAAAGCCTGGTTGACAAAGCACTGAAGACCTATACTCCTGAAGCTCTCAGCTCATATCCGGTAACGTCATTGTACTTTCTTTGGAGGTTTAGAGCTTCCTCGACCTTCTGCGCTGCTCCGTTGAACCGTTTCGCGCACAACGAGAGCTCATAGACATCACAAAACTAATAATCAGTGAGTGTGGCCTCGGCCGGACAATTAACGGCTGCTCACAAACTGCGTTGTGAGCCAGAGGAGATGTAGTATTTTCGCTTCCTACTGAGGTAATCATCTCGACTGTGCCCTCACGTTCAGATTGTTATTACAAAATCCAGAGATCCAAGGCCTGCCCTTGTTCATGACCGTACCACAATCATAACCGAACATCATCAACCTAGTTTATGGTCTTTGCAGACCTGTAGTTTAATGTCATTGCGGATGAAAACTGTTGAACGTGGATTTTCACCGAAAGCTCGGTTTTGGTAAAAAATAATTTGATTCGGAACCAGCCGAAAGATACACCATTGAATGCAGTTTCTCGCGCTGACCTCGAAAATGTCATTACTTTGCCTTAAAAGTGCTTTGGCAGTTAGAAAAATAAGACAAACCTTTGAAAACCAAGGTTTTTTGAGAATCCTATATCTCAGTCCCGAAGCATTTGTGCATCTCTAGTAGACGCGTCATATAGAGAAGAATTATCTCTGAAAGTTTCAACAAAATTGGAGCTGTGGAAAAATGTGGAACTCTACTTTACTGAAGACACCTTTTTGGATAAACCTACAGTGCAGAAAGGAAAATTATTTTACTGGAAAAA